ATGTCTATTGTTTATTTTCATTTTTGAACTAAATTCTATTCTTTTGGGAGCAAATATTTACAATATTTACAATTTGTCTTTTCTGAAATAATTTTATATAAATAAATAAATATATAAATACTATATTTTTTGCATCTTATAATATGCTTTTTATAGGCCGGTATTCATAGTCAGTTCTTATATTTAAGATCGTTTTAAGATAACATTTCAATAGAATAGCTGTATGAGCTTATTTAAGACGATCTTAAATATAAGAACTGAGTATAAATACCGGTCATAATGTTGAAGGTTATTTAGAGTGTTTTTGCAATGTAAAGGACAGAGATATGACACTGAAGACATGAAACTGGTGTAATGTTGCCTAAATTTGAATCGACGGACGTTTGCCTAAGATAATAAAAATACAAGCGAACAGTATCTTAGATTAAAATATATACAGACGTGTGTATTCTAGATATTGTTATTATTATGTATTATTGTTGTCGTATATATTGTACTATATTATTATTATGTATTATTATTATTATATTAAGTTAGTAAATTAAGTAAGGAAGGTGAAAATTCATTTTAATTTATTCGTTTTCGTCAGTCGAGTTTTGTCGCGTATCGAAGCTAGCCTTTTCGTTAGAATGTTTACGTTTCAGTGCGATAAACCTCCTCCAAATTAAGACCGTTGAAACGTTCCTTTATCTCTTCTATAGCTACAGATTCGAAAATTGAAAGAAAATACTTTACAATATATTATTTTCTTTATCGCACTGAGTCGTTAACTATTATTCGTACAAATTGCATTACAACGACTTATTTATATAAATAAATAAATTTCCGCCTTACAATAATGATATAGAGAGAAAACGCTTAATCGAAGGGCATTATGCCCGTTCTATATCGGATCTTGCTCAATCAAGACAAGGGTTCGATGCAGGCGTGAACAATAATTGACGGTCCTTTAGAGAGTGCAGACTCCTTTCCTCTGCATCACTATCGCTGAATCTCATAATTGAAAAAAGAAATAAGGAAAAAAAATTACAATTCGCTGAATCTAACACTGGTGATATGAAAAACGTAAAACTGCATTAAGCAATTCGATCAAGCAAAGTGGAAAATATATCGAGAGAACGTAAGAATATTATTTTCAAACTCTGACTTTGGTCAATTTGTTTATTATTTAAATTTTACTGTTTACGTTTTTTTTTTTTTTTTTTGTCGCGACTCAAACTTTACTTGACTTGATTTTAGTTCCGATCTAAGCTAGATGGCGCAAAAATATAGATATCTTTTTATACAGGAGCAAGTTTCTACTTCCCGCTGATAGAGGCGCGCATGCGTCAGGAAACACGCAATTCGGGTTCGCCGGGTCTTATCGCTGCTTGCTTTTGCTCGCATTTAAGTAGTATTAAGTCACTCGCAAACGGATTTCGTTACCTCTCCGATACCAAATGCCGAAGAATAAGAGCAAAAATGCATTCTACTTCTTTATGCTTGATTGGAAGAGACGGGCGGAAGCACAGGGCCGCAAGTTTCCCAATGGGCTCAAGGATGTTCAGCGGGAACCGGAATGTAACGAAGAATGGCAGGTAATGTCTACAAGAGCGATTGTTAATTGTGATCGAGTCAATTTCTTACATTGTCACTTCTCCTCGCGTCACTTCTCATTAGCATTAAATAGATCTAAAGCGTTAAGTACCAATTTGAATTCTAAAATTGAAGATTAATACTCACTACATTTGGCAGGAAGTCAGCCAATGAAAGGAGAGGAATGCACAAACTGAAACCATGTTCCAGAATTAATTTCGCTAATAAAAAATGAAAATGTATAACGTACATAACACAAACTATATATTTTTGATACTGCCAGTGAATATTAGAACACAGTTTTAATATTAAATTTGAAAAAAATAAAAGTTTATATTAAATGATAATTATCTAAACATAAATTGATAAAAGGAATTTTGGAATTAAATATTAATTAGATGGTCAGAAGAATTATTAAAATAAAAAGTATAGGTTTTTTTCTTTAAAAACATCTGATATCAAGAAATTTTCTTTCTTTTATTTTTTAATAATAAAGGTTAATCTTGTATCACAAATATACATATATGTTATGAATTGAAAATTGCTTGAACTGAAGAATTCAATCAATCTTAATTTGGTTTGTTTTAATCAAATTCTCATCTCTAATTTGGAATCCTCAATTTCCAATGGGTATTCTGTTACAGACTTTGAATCTTGTTTTTATATTGAAATAAACAAGAAAAGACAATCAACTTTAATATTTATAAAATATAGATCACTTATATAGATATAGATCATTTTTTATAGTAACAAATTTCTATATATCTAAAACAAAAATGCTAAAGAATAAATTTTAGAAAAAATTCTGAAAATCTGAAATGGTTGTTTATTATGTTAAAAAAATATTAAATCTTTTATTTTGGATTTTGCACTAGTTTTTAAGCTTTTTTAATTTTGCGATCAAAGATAACTTATTCTTTTTTTTATTATTCAGTGTTTAACTAAGCAGGAAAAAGGTCCATATGAAGCCATGGCAAAAAATGATAAAATTACATCTCAAATCTCAAGTAAAGACAAGAAAACGTCATATGGAGAATCAATAAATATGATTGAACAGAAAGAACTAGAAATAATGAAATTTAAAAAAGAAATGCAGGAAAATATTAAAGTAATCATCAAGTCAGCTGTAAATCTTAATTGTATGTATTATTACTAATGTAATATATTATAAGAATTAATTTTAAAATAAAATTGTTATATTTGTTACTTTTTATCTTAATTTCAAAGATTTTTCTTTTAAAAACACTTTTTAAAAGATTTTGAAAAAGTTTTAAAGAGATTTTTGTTTTAAAAATACATAAGCTAAAGTAATAAAAAATATATAATACAAAATATAATACAAATATAATACAAAATATAATTAGATCATCATAGATTATAAATTAAAGTTCAGCAAGCAAAGTTACTTTCTTCTTTTCTTCTTTTGAATCAGAATCTTGTAAATATGAACATACGATAATGAAAAAAAATATAATTATATATAATACAATTATACATAATATATTAATTTTTATTAAATGTAATGGATTAAATTATTAAGGTAAAATATTATATAATAGAAATATATTATACAAAATAATATTTCTCCTTGTTGCAGTTTTGCCAAAGTTGAAATTCTGTATTGTACATGTTAACTACTTCTTCACTAAAATTGTTAATAATGCACTTGAATACTTTCCGGCCGAATATGCATTTGGAGTTTTCTCGCTTGAGAATGGTATAGAGGAAGTACATCATGCAATTGTTAGTACTAAGATTCCATTAGGATATAGACGGGAAGCATTGGAGACAAGTGCAAACTCTCATAACATACCTGTAGAATATCCAGGCGGAGAGACTGATTTTGTCGTCATGTACAAGAAATTAGTAGATTTTCTAGATTCTAGAAAACTTGTGGATCAATATCCTTATCTGTATACAACGACAACCAATATGGGAGCAGTACAATCTTTGATAACAAAACTGAGTGATGCAGCACGTAAGAATATCTTTATTATAAATTGTCTTTTTAATATTCTAATAATTCCACATTAAATAATGATACAAAAAAATATGATCGATTAATTGCATTTTTCTCTTATCTATTACAAGGCACATTAAAAAAATAGTTTTTCAGATATTTACTTTTATTTAAATTTGCTTTTTGATTGAATATAATCACTATTTAAATTGTCATATTTTAACACAATGTTAATATGCTTAAAGATCAATCTGCCATTAATGGTATTATTTATTTTACATATATAATACCTTTTTTCATTATTATATGCTTTATATTATTGTTTTAAATATATATTAAATATTTTTGTACATTAAGAAAAAAAGATAATATAACAGACTATTGTGAATTTAGTAGTTATTAAATCAAAAGATATATGCATAATTTTATAAATTTTTATAAAAATTTTATGTATATATGTGTGTATAATTTTCTCTTAAACATAATTGTTCTATTTTATAAATTTGTCTATAAAAATTTACTTTTTGGTAATTTACTTTTTGATTATACCTTGTATTAATATATATTACTTAACTAAATTTGTTTCTATTTCAGAAGAAAATAAAGACCAATTTAAGATTTATGAATTGGAATCATTGTTCACGCATTTAGCAAATGAAGCATATAAAAATAGAACAGATCGAGATATAAATTGTATTCCTATTTATGCTGGACATATATTTACACGCTATACATATATCTTTGAAAAGGGCTTTGAATGTCACGTCAGTAATTTTTATTTTATAATATTTCATCAACTAATTGTAACTTGTAACATTACTTTATAATTAGTTCCATAAATATGTTGATGGAGGAACTGAACACTGCAGTAAATCTGTGCTGCAACAATGGGCATGGACGTTGTGCGATGAGTTTTGTGAGCCACTTGGAGTAGTGATGCAGCCAGGAGTACATAAACCTAAAAAATCTAAGACTGATATCTCACAAGTCATGACGAATTTAATGAGTAACCTGAAAGTCAATGATACTCATGAATCTGCAACTGAGTCTAAGGCAATTTTATCTATGACAGGCGTAAGTATTTAGTACATTTATTAAATTGTTACTTAAGGAATTTACATATGAACAGGCATAATACATTATATATTTATTTAAATAGCTCTATGAAATTTATATAATATCATTATCAATGATTTGTAATGATTATCTGATTAACAGGTAAGTGAACGACATAGATTGAAAGTTTCTAGTAGGACGTATCAAGAAGAAATGCGGCGTCGAAATGAATCAAAACCAATACAAATGATTGATTATGGTAAAGAATCTGCCAATAAACCTATTGATGATCCTGTTAACAAACTTAATAAATCTGTTGAAGAAGAGGATAAATGTGTGCCAAATTATGTATGGGCTTTTATATTTTTATATTAATAAAAAAATATATTATTTATTAATGATTAATAATTATTTATTAATCTTTTGTTTTTATTTATTTATTTTTTTTTTAGTTTGAATGAAAAGCCGTTGCGACCTCCAAATATCAATAGTAAGTTTGAAAAAATTCTTCATTCAAGTTACAAATAATCAAAAAATATTTTATATAAATTATCTTCCAAAATAACATTATTGTGTATTATGAAATATTCATTATATATGTATATATTTCATCTTCTAAATACGTATATAATCATTTCTAGAAAATATTTATGCTCTTCCTGTGAATGATCTTTCAATTGACGATGAGGAGAGTTTTCCTCCTATTGGTAAGTTAATATATGAGATATAATTTTCTATTTATAATTTAATAACATAATGTTGAATATGATTCAATGACATTAATAATTGACAAATAATTACATAAATATTTGCATATATAGGTGGAAGAGGTGTACCTATTAGATCTCGATTAGGAGCAAGAAAACTGCCTTTAGGCAAAGGTAATATTTTATTGTCATAAATTTATTACGCATTGCAATAAATCATTTTATTTATTTTATACCGAAGTATTTTTTGCTTTATGCGAGAATTTTATTTTAATTTTTCTATAGGACAAGGACACACGTAAGCGAGACTTTTGGAAGAGTGTATCAGATCTGATATATTTGAGAGTCTTATATCAAGAGAATATATATTTATAATTTACAAAGTCTACAATTCAGTCATTTAGTCATTTACTTTACGATAAATAATGATGAACACATACATACTTACTAAAGAGATATTACTTTTACTGTAATCTGACAATAAGGCTTAAAACAGTGTATAATAATTTTTACATATTTGTTAAATTTATTTTGAGATAATAAAATTGATAATAAAGATGAATAATAATTGGCATATATTCTATTTCTAAAATTTATATTCATAAATAATAATAAAATAAAATTAATATAATTATATAATTCGAAAATAATACCTATTATACCAGATAATATGGCGTTATATGATTTTTAACATACATTTTATATCGCAATACAATATAAATTTTGTTTTTATATTTCAAGCAATATATTGTCTTGATATGTAATAAATTTTCTGTTTTATATTTCTAGTTATATAAACGTGATTTCTTTGCAATCAGCAACAATTTTACTGTGAATAATATATGTGGATAAATTTGATAATATAACTCTCAAAAGATCAGAATTCATAAAAACATCTTTATAATATTTCACTGTTATGTATATTTATTTTATACGCGATATTAAATAAAATCTTCACATTGTATGTTCAATATCGTACTTATTTATTATATTTACTATACTATCGTTACTATTATTTACAAAGTATAACAAATTGCTATTAACAAATAAATGTAAGTTATTGGTATTCTATGTAATAAAAGATATAACTCATTAAATAATTGTTGTGATTGAAGGATTTTTTATTTCAATTTTATTTCAATTCTTCATTTTCATACTTTAATATTTTTTTCTAAATTTAATATACGTTTAAAGAAAAGAATAGTTAATTGAGATATCACATTAAGATTATATTGGTTTCGATTTGAATTAATTAAAATTGAATTATTTTATTTTTTAATATTTGCTTTGTAATGTTAGAAAATCTTTCTAAATTTTATATATAATTATATTGTGTGTATAGTTAATTTACACTTATAATATATTATTGAAAAACGCTTTATTGTGCGATATTTTAAGAATCGCAATGTTTTATGTTGCCGTATAAAATCGAATGTTATTTGAAGAATGTTTATATGAGATATTTTTCTCATAATTTTTTTATGTAGTTTAAAATTTGTTTCTTAAAAGGAGATATATTGTCTAAATATGTTTCTAAGGAAAATTATGAATCAATTAAAATATACAGAATATATACCTCCATGAAAATTATATAAGTGTATATAATAGTATATAATAGTATTTCATCAATAATCTATAAGATTATGTGCTAAAATATATAATAAATCATTATTTTTATATTATGTATGTTATTTTTCACGAAATTGCTTTAAACAAGATAAGAATAATTTGTAAAGAGAAAAAAATTTTAATTTCTTAAGGGAATATAACAGATTGGATCGGGGATGAATTAGAGTAAAATCATATGAAATTAAGTAGAAAGAACTTCATTCATGTTTTACTACAAGCTCGTATAAATACGTACATAACATAAGAGTCTGATAATCGCTTAATAGAAAATACAAGCGTATGTTTGATAATACAGTTATCATATACAAAATTATGTATATATATATATATATATATATATAAATACATACACTCATGCATGCATATAAAGTTATCCTAATTAGTTCTTGTGTAATCGTTAAATACAGGTGAAAGTGATCTGTGGACGCATAGGTGATAGGGAGAGGGTTCGTGTGAGCGAAGGATTACCGTATTCAGAATAAAAGCCGTAAACGAGGGAGGTCCGTGATGGTTGTCGTCAGAAATACACGCAGTATATATCATATTTTGGTAAGGTAGCCCGTGTTGAATGGTTATTTATGATAATTATGCGGTGGCAAATATTGATTGCTGGCACCGTCGCCACCAAAGCCGCCACCTCCAAAACCACTTCCGGGTCCACCAAAACCGCCACCTTTACCTATTAACAAAAAATAATAGTTATAAATAATAATGATAAATAATAATTATAAATAATAATTATATAATAATATTTTCTAATACATGAAAATATAAATATTTCTTAAATAAAAGCTCTTTTCGAAATAAAAACGATTACCCGCGTATTAATTTAATATTATTTTTAATAATTCTGACTTAAATAATTTAATAATTAATTCAATTTTAAATTTGACAAGAAAGTGATTTATGTATATGTCCATATTATTATCAATAATTTCAAAGTCATTGATTACACAATTTTAAATTTTACACGCTTACACATTAAACTTGACATCGCGCTATTTTTTTTTTAATCTCAAAAGAATAATATAATAATTGCTAATATAATTTTGTGCGTTTATAATGTTATCTAACGATCACTGTATTATTTTATGCAACAAATATGTGCTAATGTATTGACCCCCTTGATAGCCGCCAGCCTGATATCCACCTCCTGGATATCCTCCGCGAGCCTGTCCTTCATATTGAACCTCCGCATTGTATCCATTTACGTCGTCAGCCATGTAACGAACGATTTGCGTCCTCGAGTCTGGCAACAGGACTCTGTACTCTCCTTGAACGACGTTACCATCGCTGCTCTCACGCTGAGAGTAATCATTGCCGCTTGGCGGATCGACAACTTCGTATTGGAAGCTGTACGGTTGCGGCTACAAAATAATAGCTAATAAACTAACTATCCTTCTGAATTTCAAATACGAGTGATTATTGAAACATACTCACTGGTAACATGCAATGTAAAATAAAATTTGATGACAATATTTTTTGGACAGGATGTATCATACACCAAGACATGTTAATTACAAATATTTTCAACAATGTTAGAAATCATATTATTTTGTTTATATTTTAATTTCTTTATAATCCAAATCTATTTATTTGATATTCCAAATGGTGTAAATATAAGTAATATGTTCTTTTCAAGTTTTGATAAATTTTTGCTATTTTATATATATCGATATATCTTTAAATACTCTCTCTCGGGATATGATTTTCTTCTATTGCATTTTATATTCATTTCTTCTAATGTAGGAAACATTGTTAACTTTAATCTTGGTTTAATTTGTTTTTTATCTCTTTTCAGTCTTTAAAATTAAAAAAAAAAAAAGACTAGATATTAGAATCTATTTAGAATAAGATAATACATTGAGAATAATATTACCCTTCCGCCATCGCGTCCACCGTAACCGTATCCTCCTTGAGCTCCTCCAGCACCGCCATCTTGGTATCCACCGCTGCCACCCTCGCCAAATTGCGGATATTTATACGATGGTTGACCTCCGAATCCGCCTGGCCTGCCGAAAGAGTCACCGCTTCCGGGTGGACCGTAAGCTTGGCTGGGTCTTCCTCTGTAACTGCCGATGCCAAAGTCACCACCGCGACCCCCGACGCCGAAACCGGTGTCACCTGCATGTCCTCCTCCACCGAATCCACCACCGCCCGGCCGGTTGTACTGATATCCTCCAGCACCTGCGCCACCCCCGGGCAGGAGACCCCCGAGAACGTCGCTGCCGATGCACGACAGCACCAAGACTAGCTTGGCCAACTGCAATCAAAGAGATTTTGCGATGAAATCGGTGAGCCCAAAAAAAATTACAATTATAATGAAGTCGTTATATCAGATCAGGTATTAATAAGCGTTCGCTACGTAACTTTACTAGAAAAGCTGTAATGATAATAAAGACAGATTAAAATAAATGTAATATCTGAGTATTTTTCATTAACGAAATTAATAATGTTTAATCATCAATAGTTATTAAAAATGATGACGACTTATTTGCCAAGTATTACGAGATTGTTTAAGAATGATGATTATATCGCCGACTTCCGGTTTTAGCTTGCTGGAACTCTTTATTTCGAAGGAGAATGTATACGTCAATGGGTCATCTCTCGAGGAAGATGACCGAGATATTGCGGGGACCGAGACGGTGGACATTGCGGTGTCCGCTGCGATAATCGCGTGTTACCGAGGGAAAGTGGGGCACAGACATCCCTCCGTTATGTACGGTATGTTCAGCATCGCGTAGCCGAGGGAAGAAGCCGAAATGCTCTATCGATGCGGAATCTGGTCCTGATCGCATCGTTATATCTTTTACGATAAAAATTGCGAGATATTATCGACATTACGCGTTAAGCTCATTTCAGATAGAAAGATTTTACCCAAAAAGATTTTATAAACCATTGTTCTCTTCGATTTTTACGGCGGTCACATTACGATATACGTAGCAATTTGCTCGCCCAATTATTAAATTTGTTAATATCGTCGGCTTTTATTATTGCAAAAAAAAAAAAAAGGTAGAATTGCATATGTGATCGGGATAAGTTGCAACATTTGTCACAAATGTCGCACCTTTCACGACTGTGATGCGTTGTCACCAACCTGAGAGTCATCGCTGGCACAATGGAAGATAATTGCAAACCGTGTTGCATATGCGCATCACAAGCATTATAGGACTCCAGATTAGAGATCACTGCTGCGATTTATTCCTGTTATAACTACTTCCATTTTCGTTCATTAAGCAAACTTAAAAGCTGTCTGTTACGATTGCATGTTTATTCACACTTTATCAAAGATATTTTGTTCGCAGGAATAATGAGAGAGAAAGGCAACTATAGCTTATAGATAGATATACTAGATATCGAATGATCGATTACAAGAAGTAGCACTTTTATACCGTTGTGTATTATTATAGTAAGAGAATTCTCTTTGAATTTTCTCTAATTTATCGAAAAATTTTTTAATTTTTTAAAAATTATTATTACTATTAATATATTTCGAAGAAAATTTATTTCGACAAACGATCTTTTATCAATTCGATATTTACTAGAGTCAATTAAAACTTAGAAACTCTATGTTATAAATAAAAGATATCCTGATGATTTTTAAAAAATCTTTTTCAATTGAAGTAACAAAGAAAATATTTACATTTCTTGAGCTTTCAGTTTTCTGTTCTCAGCTTTCAGGATAATTCCGGTAGATGATAACAGGAGCGATTATAAAAGAAGCTAAAAAATAATTATATTATATCGATAATAAACAATGAAAAATAATACAGTACACAACAAAAATAAGTTTCAATGAGTAGTGAAAGTTTAACGATTAAAATTTCTTGTTAGCAGCGCGCGTTTATAAACTTATAAAATTAATTATTATATAAAACGCCTCGCCGGACTGCTGCATTTTGTGCAGCAAAAAAGGGTTAAAGCGATCCGCCATCGTTCGCGATCTACTATCTGATGGCCTACCTGGTGGCTATTCATATTGCTGTAGGACCGAAGACACGAAGCGAACTGAGAAGATGATCCTCCGGGGAGTTTATATATCACACGGACCCTTTGTTACAGTTTATCCTTCGTACTGCATATCCATGTATTAACCGGTGTATTAGAATGACCGGCCGCACTGTGGGAGGGTGTGGGAGGCGGAGAAGTGCGCATCTTCCCCTTCACTCTGTATGATGCATTATGGGAAGAGATAGCCCGTTGATGACTGGAATGGCTTTAAAATTT